TTGCAGCAAGCTGTACCCGAGGCAGATCCACTCAAGCTGCGGCTGATTGGGGCTTCCCCTTCCCATAGAGGCTCAGAGCTGGGTCCTGCTAAAGCCAAGCAGAGAACAGCACTGGCAGTCCAACACAGGGGTCTGTGACCATGCAGTGTCCCTGTGGTCCCTGCAGCAGAGCTGTGCACCCAGCAGAGCCTCCAGCCTTGCTGCAGCCAGGGCAGGGACAGCACAGCAGGCACGGCACTGCATGGCCACACCAGATGGTCACAGCCAGGCTGTCACTGGCAGAGGCCATCAGAGAGGTCAGCTAATTCTTGACACTACAAGAAGCTGCTACTTACTTCATTTTTTCCAGCAGAAGACAGGGTCAAAATTAATGTGGATGCAAACCTGCAAACATGCAGTGTGTTCCTGCTCAGGTCTTAGGGGGAACAGCTTCATGCAAGGGGCACCCGGCCCCCCTGCCCCAAAACACCTCCACATCCAGCACAGCCAGCGCTGTACCATGGGGACACCGCAGGCACCCTCAGCAGCCCCAACCCTCAGTGAAGGCTTCACAACCCCATCACCTGCCCGGACCAGAACGGGTTCTCACAGAGCGTAAGAGTCTGGGACAAGTCCAGCACAGGGCCACAGCACACGAGCACACTGAGGAGTTGGCACCCACAGCCCCCCATGCCACATATGCCCAGGGCTGCCCCAGGCTCTGCGTCCCGCTGAGCCCAACGGGGCAGAGACTGGGGCAGAGACGTGCCTTACCCAGCACGGGAGCAGCCCTCAGGGCAGAGCTGACGATCTCCAAAACATCAGCACCAAACTCCCCTCCCTCCCCAACAGCTGCGTCCATCCCTCCGGGTGAATGCGTTTATAAAAAGCTGCTGTGTGGGGATGAGCTGGCAGAAATAGCTGCACACAGCCGCCGCCGCACCGTGTAAGAGATGATCACCAGCTGTTCTGCAAAGTGCCCGAAATAGAGCCAGCGCGGCGCAGCTCCCGGGGAGATGGCGCGCGTTTAGCTGAGCCCAGCAGCGAAGCCGCCCACCTCCCGCACACCTCGAGCAGCCCCTGCCCCAGCTGGAGCCAGGCTCTGACAAGACGCCAGCTGCGCTTGCTGCAGGGGGCGTGGTGACAAGGAGGGACCGCAGCCCCAAGCGCTGTGCTCACAGCCTCAGCCGCCGCAGCCCCTGCACAGCCCCGCAGGGCGCATATGCACACGCTGGACATTCCGGTGAGGCCCCAGCAGGCAGCAGTTGCTCTCTCTTCCTTCAGGCTGAGCTCCAATGTTAACCAGAAAGCTGCGATAGGCAGACCAGAGCTACCTGCAAGGTCCGAGCAGCACCCAACATCTCTGCTGTGCTGTCGTCTGCATTGCCACATACCCCTCCACGTCTGAGATACACATGGAAGGAGCGGGAGAGCTCAGCTGAAGCCTCCCACGTCTCGCACATCATGTGCTCGCTGCCCTCCTGCTGAAAGGCACCGAGTTCAGCACACCGTGCCCCCCAGGCAGCGCCGCAGCCCCGGAGCCGTGCAGCCATTACTCAGCAAATCATAATGAATAACGAACAGCACTGACAAAATGCAACCTGTGACGATGTGCCAGTAGGAAATGAGGGGCACGCCTCCATTAATCACTCATTATGAATTATTCAGCTAAACAGGAAGCAGAAGGCAAACTTAGATACGTTCTGCATGGAATTGGAGTGGGCTCTAAGGAACGCTCTGACCCCACGTGTGAGGCAGCCCCTGCTGCAAGCCCAGTGAGCTCCATGAGCAGCCCCTGCCCAGCAGGCTGGTGGCGACCCAGTGCCAAACGTCTGCTCGGAGCCAGCAGCACACAGCCCTGCCCTCACACATCCCAGAGCCTTGCCTTTCCCACCATGCCTTCCCCCCGTGGCCGTACCCCTGCCCAGCATCAGGTGCCCCTAATGCCAATCCAGTCTCAGAGCACTGTGATAACCACAGCTCAGGCAGCAGCATCCTCCCACATGGCAGAGCTGCACACAGCTCTGTGCCAGTTGTGCACCTACAGTTGCTCCCCACCCTCTGGCTGGTTTCCTGCCCCTGGTGGGACCTTCAAAGGAGCCAGGCTCCCCAGTAACCTCAGGGTAAGGCAGGCTGGATGCTGTACAACAGCAGTGGCACTAGAGGTTTCTGTCCCAGTGACAGCAGGATGCCCGTGGTCGCAGTGCTTCTCTGCAGGCATGGAGGGGAGATCTCCACCCTGGAAAACAGCACACAGCCTCTGACTCCCTCGTGCAGCAGGACAGTTTGGTGTCCCTGCTGATGCACTCAGGCCACAGGAGCACACTACCACTGTTGGGAGATGGACCTCAGGGGTCTCCAGCCCAGTGAAAGGCCCAGCAGTGGGCTCAGCCCAGTTTGCTCCTCACTGCATCCCCTTGAGCCTTGACAGCCCCTAAGGAGGGAGGGGCCCAACCTCAGTGGGGGCACACTGCAGTGCCAGGCCACCCTCAGCAACACCAGGGCACAGCGACGTACAGGGGGGCACCGACGGCACACGTGGCCACACGGGCACCAGGGGACACGAGCGGCACAGCTCCACGCGTGGGCAGCGACACAGCCAGCCCTGCATGCGAACACAGCGCCGTGCCGCTGGGCACTCACAGGTATGGACACACACACGGGGGCTGCGTGTGCACTCAGCCACCCGGCACACACCTGCACCCACGCAGACGCAGCCCTGCGCGCACCACCGCACAGACACTCAGCCCTCAGGACGTGCGCACGCACACAGACACACAGACACACACACAGACCGCGGCCCCGCCTCGCACACGCGGATTCAGACGCGCACCGTCCCGCCCTCGCTCAGACCTGGCTGTGCTGGACGCAGCCCCGCACACGGTTCCCCCCCCCCCCCCGCCACTCCCCGCACCCAGCGGGGGCGGACGCGCCGCCCCGCGCCCTCCTCCCCGTGCAGCCCCGGTGCGCACAGCGGGGCCGATACCGGGCACCGCACACCGCTAACGGGTACCAGCACGGTGCAGCAGGTAACGGGGGCGAGCCCCGGCTCCAGGAAAGGACCCCCGCCCCGCTGTCGCAGCACCGAGCCCGGCGCTGAGGCAGGGGAGGCGACACCGCGGCACCGGTGAGGGGAGATGGAGGTGAGAGCAACTTCGGAATCGGAGCGGGGGTCTCGGGGAGCAGCCCTGGGCATCTGGGCGCAGTGCTACCGGGGGGGGCTGGGAGCGCTCACAGCCTTCGGGCAGCGCTGCGCTGACAGGGAGGTGGGGGCTGCGGGAGCCACGCATTAATGGGCATGGGCTGGGGGGGGGGGAAAGGGGAAGCAGGCAGAGCATCGCGCGTGTGCCGTGGGGGAAGGCGGTGAGCGCAGACTGCGGAGTGCTGCGGGTGACGGAGCAGGGGGAGATGCCCAGGGGAGGGGACAGCGCCGCTCGCCGCCGGGCAGCAGGGAGCTGTGATGGGAGAGCAGGGCGAGCAGGCGGCAGGGCTCCTGGGACAACGCACCTCTGACATCGCCGCGGTGCTCGGCCCCGCGAGTTACCGCCTCTGCCCCGTGCACGGCACTCACCGGGTCTCAGCGCTGCTGCCCCACGGGGACACAGGCACGCAGCCACCAGGCGCTCAGTTCCCGAGTGGTGCCGCGGAGCAGCACGGAGGAGCCTTGCCCTGCTGCAAGTCCCGGGATCAGCAGGGGAGCCGCTGCCGAGCAGGGGCAGGAAGCGCCTTCCAGAAGGGAGGGCGTCTGCTGACCCCCCGAGCCAGTCCTGCTGCAGAGTGCTGCACGAGAACGCTGCTCTCTCACAGCACTCTCCTATACAAGGACTCCCCACAGCACAACAAAGCAGCACAGGGTTACACACAGCAGAGCAGCAGCTGCTTAGAATTTCCACCAGCAGCGAGGACCACGGCCCCAGCTGCACAGGAGATGCTCGCAGCCTCCAGTGGGCTCCGTGTTACAGAGCGAGGGGCCTCCGAGGCACAGTAGAGCCATGCCAGGAGCAGGGCCACATTGGTGGCTCTGGCACCGAAGGAAATCAGCTGCATTCAAGGAAACATCAACATGGCTGTGGGAGCAGAGCCGGAGGAGAGCAAGGCAAGGTGAACTGAGGTGTATCAAGGAGCAGCGAGAGCAGAGCTGCTCCACGCAGGGAGACAAGCTATGAGCTGAGAGCAAGACCTCACCTGTAGGGCAGGAGTAGGCTGCTAACAGCTATGGGTCACACAAGAGAGATCACCAGGAGAATGCAGAACAGCAAACTCTATCCACAAGAGAAGTCCAGCAAACAAAGATAATCCCACAGAGCTGAGCATAGGCTCAGGGCCTGCCTTTAAATAGGGCTCCCAGCCCATAGCAGGGGGTGTGGGGATCCAGGTGAAGCTGTTCAGCAATCGGCATTGATTGGTGCTCGCAAGGCTGGCAACCAGCACACCTGGATGGGGTGACAGCAGGGGCTGAGTCTGTGGGGCTGCCTGGCAAACATTGCATCTGAAATGAATTCGCTGAGAGAGGAGCAATGCCATAACATGAATTATGAGCCGAGGGAAGGCAGTGCCAGTGCACCTCCCAGCTGGCTCCAAGCAGTGCTGTCACTCCAGGAGACCCCAGAGGAAACAAAGCTTTCCTCCTGCTGCAGTTCCCCCTGCACCCCAGCACCCCCAGCAGGCAGCACACAGCACTGTGGCAGAACCACGGCATGATTTGGATCGGAGGACGTCTTACAGCCCCTCCAGTTCTAACCCCTCCATGGGCAGTGATACCTCCCACAGCCCGGCGCCCCATCCAACCTGACCATGAGCACTTCAAAGATGGGGAACCCGCAGCCACCCTGGGCAGCCTACACCAGGGCCTCAGTGCCCTCGCGGTACAGAATCCCTTTCTCATGTCTAACCTAAATTCAACCTCTTCCAATATGGGAAAGTGCTGCAGGGCTGCCCATGTGCAGAGGGCTCAGCGGAGGCTGCAGGGGGGCTCACCTCTCCATCCCATTCCTCCCCAGCTGCCGTGAGCCCTGCATGCCATGGATGAGGCGACGGAGCTGCAGACCGGGGGGAACTCCCTCCTGAAGGCAGTGTGGCTGGGCCGGCTGCGGCTGACCCGGCTGCTGCTGGAGGGGGGGGCCTACATCAATGAGAGCAACGAGAAGGGGGAGACGGCGCTGATGGTGGCCTGCATCACCACGCACGTGGACCAGCAGAGCATCAGCAAGGCCAAGATGGTGAAGTACCTGCTGGACAACAGGGCCGACCCCAACATCCAGGACAAGTCTGGGAAGACGGCCCTGATGCACGCCTGCATCCGCGGCGCGGGTGGCGAGGTGGTGACCCTGCTGCTGGACAACGGGGCCGACCCCAGCCTGGAGGACCACTCCGGTGCCTCTGCACTGGTGCACGCCATCAACGCCGATGACAAGGATGTTTTGCAGCACCTCCTGAATGCCTGCAGAGCCAAGGGGAAGGAGGTGATCATCATCACCATGGACAAGTCGGCCACCGGCGCCAAGGCCACCAAGCAGTACCTGAACGTGCCCCCACTGCTGGACTTCAAGGAGAGGGCCTCCCCTGAGACGAGCAACGCAGCACTGAAGGCGGCCGCCCCATGCCCACAGCCCGCCGAGCAGGAGCTGCCCCCCGGGGACGGTCCTCCCACCAAGGCCACCCCTGAGCCACCCTCCCCGGGCTGGAGGGGCGGCACCACCACCAAGAGAGCGCGGCTCCCGCAGCTGAAGCGGCTGCAGTCGGAGCCGTGGGGGCTGGTCGCGCCCTCAGTGCTGGCTGCGCACCACGAGGAGCAGCGGGTGCGCACGGATGACGAGCTGGTCAGCAGCATCGGGGAGCTCGCGCTGTGCAGGAAGGCTCCCCTCAGCCGCAGCAAGGATGCGCCCCTATTCCCGCTGGTGGACGAGCAGGCGCTGCGCACGCCTCCAGCCCCCGGGTCCGGCTGCAGGAAGGGGTTCGAGAAGGGCCCCCAGCGCCTGCCTCGCAGGAGCACGGTGCCGGAGCCGCCGGAGAGCAGCGAGGCGATGGAGGCCCTGCACTGGCGGCGGATGAGCGCCGAGCACCACGAGTGCGACGCCGGCATGGCCGAGGCGGGGAAGGTGGCTGCGGAGAGGAGGAAGCTGAGCGGCTCTCACCTGGCTCTGCTGGGTGGTTCGCGGGAGGCTCTGGATGGCGCCCCCAGCACCTCCCCCGCCGCCGCCCGCCGCCCGCCCAACCTGCTGGAACGGCGCGGCTCCGGCACGCTGCTGCTGGACCACATCGCGCACACCCGGCCCGGCTACCTGCCCCCCCTCAACGTCAACCCCAGCCCCCCCATCCCCGACATCGGAGCCAGTGGCAAGGCCCCCTCCCCGCTGGCTGCCGGCTTCAGGGCCCTGGTGCCCGTCGCGCCCAGCTCCCCCAAGCGGGGTGACCTGAGAACCAAAAAGAAACTCCTGCGGAGGCACTCCATGCAGCTGGAGCAGATGAGGCAGCTGTCTGATTTTGAGGAAATCGTGGCACAGTAGCTGCTTTCCCGGGAAGTTCCCCAAACTGCCCTCTGTAGGAACACACACGGCAGTTCGGAGCGGGGCGGTGCTGCCCTGGGAAGCGCTGGCAGCCCTGGGCTCGAGGCCCCATGCACAGAGCACTTTCCCCAGAGCTGGGGGGACAACAGGTGGCAGGCAGCACAGAACTGAGTGCTTGGAGCCCTGCCATGCCGGCTGCTTTTGGATTTTCCCCCCCCCCTCGAGCACTTATCTGAGAAATCCAATCCCAGCACGTTTAGGTAGAGGCAGGCATCACACAAAGGCTCCCGGCTGCAGTGTGTTTGTTCCTGGTTATTTACGATCCATTCTTCATCCCTCCCACTCATCCCAATGCAGAAAACGGTCTGGGAGCCCCACGCCAGGGAGTCGGGGGCTGACGTGTGTGTGAAGTGCCTACCGGGAAGGAGCTCAACGCTGCGAGAGGATGGAGAGCAGAAATAACCCTCCTTAGCGATTGAATGTATTTATACCCTCACTGTGCTGCAGAGGCGAGACAACGCTCAGAGGTCCTGCGATTCCGTTTCCAAGCGCTTGGCAACACAGAGCCAGATCCGCTGCTGGTGCAGCTGGGGAGCCGTGCGCAGAGCTCCGGGTTTGGCACGCTGCGCCCGCGGGGAACGCGGCTGCCCGGCCCCGCTGCGCTGCGGGTACCCGAGGATGGATGCGCCGCGGTTCCGTCGGCACGGGAGCGCCCTCTGGAAATGCGTTTTCGATTTAAATGTGTTGTTTAGAGTAAAGGTGGGCTTATATTTTTACAGCCTTAAAGTTTATACTTGCTGTCGCTCAGATGTCTTACAGACGGAATTTCAGGCACGCTTTATCTCTAACCATGAAGTTCGTCTTCTATTTTTGGCTGAGGAATCCCAAATCCCAGAGTTTTCATTCGCGCATATCCCCATATCTTTATTGACGCTTCCGCCGGCGCGCTCTGACGGCGGCGCTGCAAACACAGCTCAGCTTCTCTTTGCGCGGGGGCTGTGAGCGCGCATCTCACTGCGGGAGCGCGCATCTCACTGCGGGAACGCGGGGCAGCGCCGCGCCGCAGCCATTGCCGCTCGCGTGTGCGGTGCGGGGGTGACGCCGTGTGACGGACGGCGGTTTTACATCCCCGCTCTGCCCGCAGCCGCCCGGCCCCGGCCCCCCGACGTCCCCCGGCCACGCACGGAGCCGCCCCAGCCCGGAAGCGCAGCGGTGCCGCCACGTCAGGGAGGGACGGCCCCGGGCGGGGCGAGCGCGGGGCCGAGCGGCGCGGCGCGGTGCGGGGCGGGCGGGATGCGGGGCTGGGCGCGGGGCTGGGCGCTGGCCCTGCTGCTGGGCGCTCTGCACGCGAGCGGCACCGAGCTCACTTTCGAGCTGCCCGACAGCGACAAGCAGTGCTTCCACCAAGAGCTGGACCGAGGCCTCAAGTTCACGCTGGACTACCAGGTACGGCCCTGCTCCTACCCGTGCCTCCACCCGTGTCCCCCAGCCCCTGCAAAGCCCCAAGCAGGGCGACCCCCGCACCTCTCCCCCACAGCCCCGCTCCCCCCGTGCTGCCCCGGGAGCTGTGCCCAGACTCGAGCCCAGCAGAGCCCACATCAGAGCTGCTTGGGATGTGCCCACGGTGGTCCCCCAGCCCGGTGGTGGCGGCCATCCCCCCGTTCATTCTGCCCGTGGGCCCTCAGCCTGGCCCCTGCCCGTGATGGGCTGCAGTGGCACGGTGCCGTGCTGCTCAGGGCATGGCTGTGCATGTGGCACATTTTGGGGCAGCATTCCTCTGCCCGTGGTGCCGGGTTCTCAGGGTTCAGCAGGTGCTGCCCACATCTCCCTGTGCAGGTGATCACCGGGGGCCACTACGATGTCGACTGCTACGTTGAGGACCCCAACGGCCGCACCATCTACAGGGAGACCAAAAAGCAGTACGACAGCTTCCCGCACCACGCTGAGCTCACGGGGATCTACACCTTCTGCTTCAGCAATGAGTTCTCCACGTTCTCCCACAAAACCGTCTACTTCAACCTCCAGGTGGGCGACGAGCCGCCCATCCTGCCCGACATGGGCAGCCGCGTCACGGCGTTGACACAGGTGTGTTGCAGCATGTGGCCAAACGCACAACCCCGTGCGACCGCGCTCGCTCCCTTCCCCTCTGCTGAGTGCAGAAGCGCCCGCTGCCAGGCAGCGCCGTGCCGGCCTGCTGGTGGCAGAGCGGAGCCGCGGTGTCAGGCTGGGGCGCAGAGCCCTCGCTGAGCCGCGTGGTGTCCCGTTGCCCACCGGGCTCCGGCGCTGCCCCTTGGAGCAGAGCCGCGTCGGCGGAGCCGGCAGCGCGCCCCTCCCCCTGCCCAAGCCGTGCCTGGTGGGTGGCGCTGCATCCCTGTGCCCCCAGATGGAGTCTGCCTGCGTCACCATCCACGAGGCGCTGAACGCGGTGATCGACTCCCAGACTCACTACCGCCTGCGGGAAGCGCAGGACCGCGGCCGGGCTGAGGACCTCAACGGGCGCGTCTCGTATTGGTCGGCTGGGGAAACCGTCATCCTCTTCGTGGTCAGCGTTGGGCAAGTGATGCTGCTCAAAAGTTTCTTCACTGAGAAGAGGCCGGGCAGCAGTGCAGCTGGCACCTAATGCCACAGCTGTGCCATCCCAAACTGCAGGAGGGAGCCGGGGTTTTCATGGTGCTGTAGCGGGGACGTGGCTGGGGATGGCATGGGGAGTGCTGCTGTTGCTCGCCCGGGTGCAAAACAGCTGCCAAGCACCAGCATCCCCGCACATATCGGCAGCAACCCCCAAGATGTCACCTGCCTCACCAGTGCCAGGCCACCTCTGGGCCGTGCGCCGCCAGCCCAGGTCAGCTCCCCACCTGCAGACTGCAGGCTTTGCATCTGGCTGCGTGCGCACGGCTCCCTGCTGTGCCTGCAGTGGGCAGGTTGTGCCCTGAGCGCACACAGCATCTTCCATGTTGAAATTTCAGCAGGGGCTCTTGGCTTCTTTATTTTGTCTGCTTCTCCCTGTGCAGCATTTCCTAGGCCACAGGAGTAAGCAGTGTGCTCCACAGAAGATATTTTTGTACTTAGCTGAGTCTATGCCGGAGCCCCATCCCCTTCCCTTAGTTGTAGCCCTCAGGGGCAGCTGGCTGCAGCACCCAGCCAGCTCCAGCAGCACCACTTTGTCCTTTTACTTTGCCACTTCACAATAAACCCACACGATTCTGTTCCTGCTGCTGTTATTGGGCACTGCTCCCAGCATGGCATGGCAAAGCTCCTGCCCCATCGTGCCCCAGATCCCCCCAGTGCTGTCAGCGACTGTGCATGGCTGCTGCCCTCCTGGGAACCTGGCATGACACTGCTCCTCGTGCATGGCTGCACCTGCAGGTGCAGTGCCATGCCATGCAGCCATGGTGTGGGATCAGGGCATCAGCACCATCCCTCAGCCCTGCCATCACCAGCCTGCGGGGACTGCAGCTCTGTGCTCAGCTCCCTCCCAGCTCCCTGCAGCAACTGTAAGGCTCTTGCGGTGCCTCCAGAGCCCAGCCTACCCTGGGGCCGTGTCCAGCCCTGCTGCAGAACGGAGTGCAGGGATGTGTGCCCAGAGCTCACAGTGCCCATCCCACCCATGCACCTGATGGAGTAACGCCAGACTCCTACTGCAGACCTCTATCCAAGGGGATGCATTTTGGCAGCTCCAAATTCCTCCCGTATCCACTGCCCGCTTGCACTCTGTGCCAGGTCCAGGCTGGTCCAGCAGCAGCGTCAGGATCTGACAAATGCACTTACAGCACAATTCCATGCACCAGATCCGGGGAACCCCATTGACGAGTGCCTCACTGCCCTCTCCCCACCAGCAGCCCCCACCCTTGCAGGGACCCCAGCCACAGCCCACGCTGGGGCCGGGGCTGCAGCCCCCACAGTAGCAGAGCAGCAAAGCTGCGTCCCTGGCCCCGGCAGCACCACTGGCCTTGGAGCAGCTGCTGTGCTGCTGGGCGCTGCCAGGCTCCCGCACTTCGCAACGACCTTCAGCAGCAGCTCAGATCCTGTCCCCAGCAGCAGGCGGGTGCAGGGCTGGCACAGGAGCAGAGGGACTGCAAGCCCTGCTCTGTGCAGCCCCCAGCAGCGCTGTGGGGATGGCAGAACCACCCTGCCCTTGGGGACAACAGCCAGGGTCCCTACACGACCCATCCCCAGCCCCAGTGCAGCCACGTCCACGGATGCAGGCAGAACACAAGATGGCCACAGGATGCTTTATTTGTGTTGTGCTCCAGCACGTATCATAAATGGGTGCAGAGAGGGAAGAGGGGTGGCTCACACCCACCTGGCTGTAGGAGCAGCTCTGCCCTACCACTTACAGAAGCATTTTGGAGCAGAGCCCCCACTGCCTGCCCTCGCTGTTGTGCCCTTCCAGACACAGAGTGCCATCTTCGTGGCATCAGGCTGCCCTGGCTCACAGCGCACTGCTCTGGCAGGAACTAGCCCCAGCAGGCAGCTCCAGCTCAATAGGTGGCTGTGGCCCCTCCGTGCCCCCTGTACTCTGCCTGCCCCGCAGGGATGAGGCCGAACAGTGGAAGGAACCCGTGGCTGAGGAGGGTGGCTCAGGCTCAGGGTTGTGCCCGCAGGGACAACTGCAGCGCCTCTGGAAGGGGATGGTGAAGAGCCCGTAGGTGATGGGGTCCAGGCAGGCATTGAAGAGGCCGAAGATGAAGAGGATGTGGGAGAGGGATGGTGGGACCTTTTGCTGCATGGCCCGCGGGCAGAACCAGTACCACAGCCCCAGCAGATAGTAGGGGGTCCAGCAGAGGATGAAGGAGGAGACGATGACCAGGCTCATCTTCAGCGTGCGCAGCCGTGCCCGTGGGATGTTGCTCCCAGAGCACCGCAGCGGCACGTCCCTGGAGGAGACTGAAACGTGGGAGTGGGACCGGTGAGCGGGGGGCTCAGGGTGGGAACCACACCCCAAGCAGGGAGCAAGGACCCCCACCATCCCGGCTGAGGCTGCACACTCGGATCTGCTCGCAGGCCCCCTGCCAGCCCCACTCACAGAGGCCGGAGCCCATGCGCCGGGAGATCTCGAGCAGGATGCGTGTGTAGCAGCACACCATGATGAGCAGCGGCAGCAGGAAGAGGCAGGAGAAGCTCAGCATGTTGTAGAGGGTCTCGTGCCAGGGCTGCGGGAAGCTGCCGCGCGTGGTGCACTGCGTGAAGTTGTGCGGGGCGTGCAGGGTGACGGTGTGGAAGAGGAACAGCTGGAAGCGGAGCAGAGGTGGGACGGGGCTGAGATGGAGACCCTGCCCCTCCCCAAGAGGCACCCAGGGGTCTCAGAGCACCTGAGCTGCAGGGTTGGGCCCCGCACCGAGGGCTCACGGCGCTGCCACTCCTGAGAAGCCCCTGTGGCCCCCAGGAGCGCGGGGTGCGTGGGGCTGGCAGGCACCTGCGGCGCAGCGAGCGCGGCGCTGAGCATCCACGCGGCACGGAGCATGGCGCGGTTCCTGCGGCGCGCGCGGGCGATGGCCAACGGGCGCAGGATGGCGGCCTGCCGGTCCAGGCTGATGACGACGGTGACGAAGGCGGAGGCGTACATGGCCAGCAGGCGCAGGTACATGAGGAGGCGGCAGGCCAGGTCGCCCGCCCGCCACTGCAGCGTGATGTTCCAGACGGCATCCGACGGCATCACCACCACCGTCACCAGCAGGTCGGCGGCAGCCAGGTGCCGCAGCAGCAGGCGGATGTGGGAGCGCCCGCCGCCCCCCCGGCCCCCCGCCGCCCGCAGCACCGCCACGTTGCAGCCGGCCGAGAGCACGAAGAGCACGAAGGTGGCTGCCACTCGGGCCTGGGCCGCGGGCGAGAAGGTGGGAAGCAGCAGCAGCTCCTCGGCACCCTCGGAACGGGGGCTCCAGGCACAGCCCTGCTTGGGGTGGGACGTGCTGCTGGAGGGCTCCGTGGTGTCGTTCCCCGCCTCGGGGCCTGGGTCCAGCCAGCCCCCTCCTGCTGCGATAGGCAGATGGGCAGCACGGCCCGCACAGGGCTGGGGGTGCTCAGGGGAGGGGGTGACCTACCGACCCACCCAGAAGCCCACCTCAGCTCGCGGCATTCCCATCTGCAGCCCCGGCACCCAGAGAACTGTGGGATTCTGGCATCGCAGGTAAGCATGGGGAAGTGGTCTCAGCCTCCCCTACCCCCTGCCTGCCCCAGGCCATCGCTGCCGCCCTGTCCACCCCACTCCAGAACATCCCTCGTGGTCCTACTCAGGGACAAAGGCACTCCCCGGTGCAGGAGCCCTTTGGTGCAGCACCCCATGCTCCCTGCACCCATCTCCCTGCACACCTCACCTGCAGCAGCAGCATCCTGCCCCGTTCCCCCGCCGAGCCGGGCCATGTCAGGGCTGCTCAAACACCACCCACTCGCTGCTCCCAGTGCTCCCACATTGGCATCAGCTGCAGCCAGCTGGGATGCGGGCAGCAGGGCCGGCAGTGCAGCACTCTGCTGCCTGCAGCCACCTCCGCTCCCGCCCAGCACCCCGCCGGCTGCTGCCCTTGGCAGCTCAGGTTGCTCCTTGACGTAGCCAACCTGCATGGAACGACTCCGTCCTTTACCCCGCATCACCCACACACGGATGAGCGTGAACAGCCTCATGCACACAGACACATGTGCACAAAGGAACACGGTGTGTTACCAGCCCGACGGGCCTGCATCCAGGCGCTGCGGGGTGCCCGGAGCTGGGCTTGCTGCTGCAGAGCCGTGTGTGTGGGGTGCACAGTGCTCGTTGCTTTGGAGTGCATCGTTTGTGGGGACCCGAAGATGCGCAGGTCCCATCTCCCGGCTCCTCCGTAGGACCAGGGCTGCGGGCTGGGGGAGGGGAACGCGGCTCTTTTGCATCTCAAAGGCTTCGTCTCCCAGGCGGAGGGCATTACCGTAATTAGCAAGTCACCTCAGTCATTTCACAGATAAGCGGGGCTCATTAGCCCTGCAGACCTCCTGCCCCGGGGACCCCGGTGCGCGTTAGCATCTGCCCGCCAGTCCCGGGATGGGGCTCCGCACCGCCCGACAGCCCGACCCGCGGGGATCCCCTGCAGCCGAGTACCCGCCCTCCACCCGGGACCCGCGGGGTCTCCAGCTCGGTGGGGTGCGGCCCCCAGGTGACCCTGCGACGTGGGGCCCTCCCAGGCTCCGGGCACGGGGTGCGGACATCGCTCAGCTGTCACTGAGCCGCACCTGGGCAGTGCTGGTGAGCTCCATTCCCAGAGCTGGAGGTGTCTGTCCTGATACCTCCCGGCAATTGCTTTCCCAGATGCTGTCCCCAGCTGCACGCTGCCGGCTCAGGGCCCCGCAACGGTGCTGGCTCTGTGTCACAGCCCCTGCCCATGCCCAGAGAGATGCCCTGGTGCAATTTCCCCAGCTCAGCTATCCTCTCAGCCCCAGCATGACAGCTGTGCATGTTGCACCCATCCCGCGCGCAGCAGCTGCTGCAGGAATGGCCACGTGGCGACAGAGTGGGCAAAGGGGTTTATTTATGTACAGTCACAGTATATTATGTACAGTCAGCCAGCATGGATCCGGGCTCCAAGCACCTTGCTTTCACCACCCCCTTGCTGTCCAAGGGGGGACACACGTCTCCCTGGGTCCTGCAAGTCGTGGGCGTCCAATGGTGCGTGGCTCAGTCCTGGGGCTGCGGTGGGAGCAGAGCCTCCAGCAGAGAGAGCAGATCTGCTGAGATGTCCTGTGGGGAAGAGAGAATCGGTGAGGAAAGCACCAATGGCAGGGCAGGGATGCAGGGCAGGGCTGGGTGTGGGTCAGCAGCATTAGGGGCTGGCAGAGCCCACCGTCAGGAGGGCACCCACTCAGGTACCAGCAGGGCTCTGTGCTAGCTGATAGGAGCCCAAACGATGCAAGGAAGGGTGGGAGCAGCTGAAGGATCCAAGCACCCCACATACACATGCCATAGGGTAGAGGGGGGTCCTCTCCATTCCCAATCCCAGACTACATCACTGTGACCCCAACACCACTTCCACACACCACAGGAGCACTCTGAGCACCCACCAGAGAGATTGTGCCCAGCCCCACATCAGTATCCCAGCTCCACGGCCACGCACATACCTGGGTGACCATCTTTGCATCCACAAAGTCTGGCAGCAGCAGCCCTGTGTCGAAGATGGGGTCACTGGGGGGATCTGAAGAGGTCCCTGCCACTGCACAGTGAGGAGAGGATGGCCAGGAGGACACGTCGGAGGCGAGAGCCTCGTGCAGCTCCGGGGGGGTCCCCGCGGTGGGGCTGTAGGACGGTGATGACCAGAGCCCCATCCCCGCATCAGGAACCACGTGCAGCTGCGGACGGGTCTCCAACACGGGGCCGTTGGAGAGCGACCCCCAGGTCCCCGTCCCCGCATCCAGAGCCCCGCGCAGCTCTGGGGGGGTCCCCCAACCCTCCGAGCCGGGGGGCGAATTCTCCTGCGGGGCTGGGGAGCGCGGCCGGGGCTGCGGGGGCTGGCAGCAGCCCAGGCCCCCGGGGCAGAGCGGGCAGCGGCGGGCGGCCGCCCCGCGGCGCAGTAGCAGCACCTCCTCGCTGAGGCCCAGCAGCGCCGAGAGGTGGGCGATGTAGCGCGTGGCGAGGCGCAGGGTCTCGATCTTGGTGAGGCTCTGCCCGGCGGGCGCCAGCGCGGGCGGCAGGTAGTGCCGCAGCCGGTGCATGGCCTGCGCCAGCCGCCGCATCCGCAGCTTCTCCCTCTCGCTGGCGCTCTGCCGTGAGCCCCCGGCCGCCCCTGATCCCCTCCTGCCCGCCGGACCGCGGCGTGGTGCCCTGGCAGGGGGTGAGAGGCCGCAGGAGTCGGGTGAGGGTGCCGGCGAGCTGCTGCTGTAGCCCTCGGGCTCAGGCACTGCGGCGAGACCCCAGTCGTGCAGCGGAGACGCGGTGCGGAGCGCGAGGCCGGGAGCTGCCTGGTGGGCCATGGCTGAGGGCTGAGAGCCGCCGGCCCCGGAGCCCTGGCTTTATGCCGGGCCGGAGGTGTGAAGCGGCACCTCCGTGGCCGGCGTCGGCAGCACTTCAAAGGCGGGGGGCGAGGGCAGCCGTCCTTTGAACAGGCGGGTGAGGATTTTTACCCCGGTGGTGTGAGGCTGCTCTGCGCTGCCCGCCCCCCGGCACTGCCCGCATCCCAGCACCGGCTCTGGCCCGGGGCCGGGGGAGCCCCCCCAGCAGGGATGCACGCGGGGTCTGCGGTGCGGTCTGCCGCAGGGTGCGTGCGGTGGGCTCGGCTGCTCTGCGGTGCAACGCGTGCTGCAGACACAGTGGGGCTGGCAGGTTTCTCTGTCCCCTCGCATCCCCGGTCCGGTAGTCCCAGAGCCCAGCACCGCGCTGTTCCAGCCCATCCTGCTCCCCAGTGTGACCTACGGGCCAGGGTGGGTCCAGCACCGTGCCGCCACCCTCAGCCGGGGCAGCGGGCTTTGCCCAGGCCCCCCTGCAGTCCCGCTAATGGCATTTCACATGCTGGCACTAATGAGCCCTGACGCCTGTGGAGCCGCCCGGCTCTGCCTACACCCGGTGCCCAAAGTCCACTGCTGTGACTGACAGCCCCCGCGCTGCACCCCCGACTCCCGCCTGCCCCCATATCCCACAGCAGCTCTGACCCTGCTGCCCCAGTCCCGATCTCCAGTTCCTGCAGTAGCACCCGCAGGCGGCACAGCCCCACAGACCCCGGCCCCTCCCGACATTCGTGGCCCTGTCCCCGCTCCGGGGGCTGGGAGGGGGCTGGGAGGGGGCCCCCCGCCGCGTTCCCAGGCCCCGCACAGGAGTCGCGCGCTGCGGGTGTAAAGGTTTCCAGGGAAACGCGGCACCGCGCGGGAAGGAAAACAGATCAGGGAGAGCGCCTGGAAGGCCGGGGGGGAGAGCATCCCTGTGCCGCTGCGCGGCCCCACCGCACCGCAGCTGCACGTCAGCGGCGCAGCCTGGTCGTGCGCTGGGACGGCCCCTGCGTGGCACGGGGTGAAGCAGCGCACGCAGCCCCCAGGGCAGGACGTGCGCAGCCCCTGATAGCGGAGCTGCTCAGCCTTTCTGCTCGCGGGGCACGGAGCTGCGCGCAGGGCACGGAGCCGGGCACGAGGCACGGAACCGGCTGCGGTCACGGGGTGCGCCGCTCCACGGGGAAGTGCTGGCGATGGGACTGCGTGAGCCACCGCTTCATCAGCAATGGTCACATGAAAGTCATTCGGTTTTCCCCGCGCATGCTGTGACATGGAGGTGGTGACATCAGCCCTGCCTATCAGTCACCCCCGGTGGGGCTGTGGCACATCCGCACTCCTCGCCACGCTGGGCAGCACCAATGCTGGATCTCCATCCCTCAGCAGTCACACTGTGTGGGTGTCACTGCATCTGAGCACACAGCAGTGCCGACACAGCAGGCGCTCCCTGCCCACCACGCACTGTGCCCAGCACTGCTGGAGCCACGCACACCCTGGTGCACGTCGTGCTGGCAGGGCACATCACCACAGGCACCCAGGCACCCGCCACCCTGCTTCAGGCTGTCTGCCACCAGCCGGGTGCCACAAGGACACAGCATTTTTCACCCTGCGGATGCCACAGACGCAGCGGATAAATGCTGGTGATTTCCCAGCTGTTCCTCTGCCCTCGGTGGAAGAAGTGCCCCTGCGCCGTCCCATCCGAGGGACGAGCACACTGGAATGCTGTACAGCTCTGTGCTCAGGCTCCTGACACCAGCTGCACACCCACAGGGTTGGAGCTGCACTGGGGACCTGGGGGTCTGCAGAGGATCCAGCCCAGAAGCGCAGAGGGGTGTTTGGGGGCGCTCAGAGGGAGCTCCACAGCCACGGGCACAGCCTTGGGCACAGCCCCTTCCCCACACATCCCCCTGCGCAGTCCCACAACTGCTCCCCCCTGTTCCCAGACCCCCTCCTGTGTCTCATTAGCTGACGAGCTCCCAGGTAATGAGTTTTGCGGCCCTGCTGGGCAGGCACTTCCCACCTCCCTCAGTGTTTAGACAAGTGCTGGAGCGCGGCCGGGGCTGGGGTCAGAGCCCCTGCAGAGCAGTGCCTGCAGCTCCTTACTGGGCAGCCGGGATCCCCTGCTCCCTCCATGCTGTGCTGATGGAGTGCAGCACAGGGCACTGCGCTGAGGATGCAGGGATAGATTTTGGAGGCCAGGAACCCAGATCCAAACCTGAGCACTCCTGCAGCTCCCATCCCATCTTGGCACTCTCCTGCCCAGCACCAGCTCTTAACCCCAGGATCTCCCACCCACAGTTCTACTGGCTGAGCCCAAAGGCCGCAGGCAGGACCTGTGCCCTGGAGCACCTCACCACAGTGCTGCCCACATCCTGGGGTCAGGGCCTGGGGTTTGCCACAGCTGGGCAAGCAGCATGGCTCACTGCGTGTCCACAATCACACAGATAGTGTGCCGAGTTGCATGTAAGCATCTCAGGGACACACAGCAGCATCCCACAGAGTCAGGGAGACTGGAGCAGCATGGCTGGATGCAGAGACACTCAGGACCTCCATCTCTCAGCCACGCAAGGGGCAGAGTGGTGCGGGGATGCCAGGGATGCTGGCAATGGAAGGTCAAGGCCTCGCTGCCCCATAGTGCCGTGCCGCAGTGCGGGAGCTGGCAGGGCTGGTCGGCACGTTAGCATCTCTCACGACCGTGTGAATTGGTCCTTGCACACTTCCCAGCACTGGGCAGTGACAATTAAGGGCTGGAGGAGTCAGAACTGACACCTCCGCAAATGGGTCCGGCTTTCCCAGGCTCCCGGTCCAGTCCCAGCCCACACCATGTAGGTTTTGACACCTCCAGGTGGCCACAGAATTGCCACCTCACACCTTGGGCCCACATAAAGCCAGGGCTGCCCAAGGACCCCCAGACGTGCGCAGCCCCAGAGCGGAGCCCGCCATGGCCGGGTCCCCACTGCCACCCCGCAGCCTCCAGACCCCAACAGCCACCACTCCGACACCAACCGGGGAGCTCTGCAGACCCAGCGGCGGGTCCGGGCTGCGGCGGTGCGGGGGTCCGGCGGGCAGGAGGGGATCAGGGGCGGCCGGGGGCTCACGGCAGAGCGCCAGCGAGAGGGAGAAGCTGCGGATGCGGCGGCTGGCGCAGGCCATGCACCGGCTGCGGCACTACCTGCCGCCCGCGCTGGCGCCCGCCGGGCAGAGCCTCACCAAGATCGAGACCCTGCGCCTCGCCACGCGCTACATCGCCCACCTCTCGGCGCTGCTGGGCCTCAGCGAGGAGGTGCTGCTACTGCGCCGCGGGGCGGCCGCCCGCCGCTGCCCGCTCTGCCCCGGGGGCCTGGGCTGCTGCCAGCCCCCGCAGCCCCGGCCGCGCTCCCCAGCCCCGCAGGAGAATTCGCCCCCCGGCTCGGAGGGTTGGGGGACCCCCCCAGAGCTGCGCGGGGCTCTGGATGCGGGGACGGGGGCCTGGGGGTCGCTCTCCAACGGCCCCGTGTTGGAGACCCGTCCGCAGCTGCACGTGGTTCCTGACGTGGGGATGGGGCTCTGGTCGTCACCGTCCTACAGCCCCACTGCGGGGACCCCCCCGGAGCTGCATGGGACGCTGGGCTTTATGTCACAGCCCTCACCATCACCGCTGTGCAGCATCAGAGCAGCGACCCTGATGGAGCCCCCGCGGAGATGCGCAGCAACCACAGGCACCAGGACAGGTCCCTCCTGCTGCACGGAGCCCGCAGCCCCCTCCCTGTATCCTGGGATGAGAGCAAAGGCCATGGGACCTTCAGGACTCCACACATGCGGCTCTCAGGTACACACGGGTGCATGCGGGCTGACGGTGGAGCCTGGGATGTGGTGGGGTGGGATGGAGGATGCTCTTGCAGTGCACATGTGTGCCGTGACCAGGGTGACTGCATGGGGTGTGGGCACAGCACAAAGCACACCGAGATGCAGAGCCAGCCCAGGATGCATGCACATGGCCACAGCACTGCCCCACACAGCCGCCTGACACACAGCCTTTCTGCAGATCGGCAGCCCCCTGGACCAGGACCTGTTCATCTCCTCCGACGTCCACGGGACGCCTGTCCTGCCCGGCTGCAGCCCCGCACGGTGCTGGGGGTGGTGGAGCTGATGCGGTGCCCACAGCTGATGACGCAGCGTGGGGACAGTGCCAAGGGGCACTGCGGGACACTGGGAGAGGCTCCTCATTAAAGCTGCTGTGCACTGCTGCACTTTGCCTTTGGTTATTGCGGGGCTCCTGATCACTGCGTTCCGACAGGGAATGGGGCCCCGAGGGGGGGTTGTGGGAGGGCAATGTTCAGCCTTCACTTCCACATTACACACCTCGATGTGCTGCCCCCAGTCTGGGGCTTGGTGTACTGTCCCACAGCTCAGAGACGTCCCCAGGGCTAGAGTGACAGAGGGACCCCATTTCTGGCCTCCCTCAGCCCTCCACCTGCCCAAGTCCTACCGATCGCCGGGGCACGGCGCCCATCCACCCGCCGACCCCTCCATCCTTTCTGCACCCACGAGGGTTTGGGGTTGGGGCTCGAGGAGCGGCCCCAACCCCCCCCCCCCCCCCGCAGCGCCGCGGCCGAGCTCACACGCAGCCGTCAGACGGAGAGGCCGAGCGCTGGCGTCGGCGCAGCCCCCGGAGCCACTTAGCACCGGGATCCTAACAGCCTCCGCTCCAGCCATTTCCTGCCCCGGCCCCGCTCAGCTTCGCAGCCGCTGCCACACCGCGCTCCCGTGCACCTCTTTATTTACGAGACCCCACGTCTGGCACGAGCTCTCGCTGTACCCGGCCCCGTGCCCCCCGCCCATCATCCAGGCGCCGGGCGCTTCCCGTCACGAGCAGCGAAGGGCTCGGCCGGGCGGGCCGGGGCGGCGGGCGGCAGCGCTCCGGGGTGGGCGCGGGACGGGGACGGAGCGGGAGAGCGGCCGGAGCGGCTTCGGGGAGCGACGGCGGACCCCGCGGCGCGGTGGTGCGCAGAGCAGACTTAGCTGGAGGCGGTCTCGGCGCTGAACCAGGCGAGCACGACCTCCTTGTTCGCATTCACCCAGTTGATGTTGGTCCTGGTCCGCTCCAGCGCCTGCTCCAGGGCGCGCGTCCCCGAGCCGAAGCCGACGTCCTGGTTGTCTGCCTTGAACTGCTCCAGCTGCGAGGGGGGGACAGAAGGGCTGGGGAGGCGGGGGGACCCCGCAGCGAGCACACCGCGACGGCAAGCGGAGCAGGGCACACGCAGGGCTCGGTGGGACAGAGGGACCCGGGTGCAGAGGTGCCAGCTGGCAGCCGCTCACCTGCTGCAGCTCAAACTCCGTGTTGAAGCGTTGGGTGACGGCTGTAATCAGCCGGGAGAAAGAGAAGGAGCCGCCGCCGTACCTGGGGGACGGGACAGATGGCTGAGCCGTGTTGGAGCTGCCCAGCGCCCCCCCCGGCACACAGGCAACTGCTGCTGCTGTTGCTCCCCGCCCCACGCAGTGCTCACTGGCTGAAAAGTGTCTTCCAGTTGCCTCGGATGAAGTCCCAGGCCAGCGGCTGCCCCACCACGTTGCTGGCGATGCTGTTGATGGTGGAGGTGGCGTCCTGCCTGCGGATCTTGGTGGAGTCAAGGGTGTACTGCAGGTACCTGGGTGGGGGGAGCTGCCAGGTGAGAGGCTGCAGGGGCAGAGCCGGGTCCCCCCCAGCCCTGCACCCACCGCTGGAGGATCCAGGGTTCAGTGCTGCAGGTCAGGGCCGTGCGCAGCTTGTCGGCCTCGGACACCACAGGAGCCTCGAGGAAGCGCTCCCATATGAAGTCCCACGCCTCCTCCCCGCCTGTGGCCACGATGCTGCAGTAGATGGCAGAGCGCAGGTTCGGGGCAATGCTGTCGGGGAGAGATGTCTCAGCTGGGAGCCCTCACTGTGCTCAGCCTCTCTGTGCCCAGCCACGGCACTGCAGCACTCACGGGTTGTTGTTGACGTTGTTCTTCCACTGGTTGAAGAGCTCGGTGGCCAGGTCCTGGCACTCAGAGATGCTGTAGGAGCAGGCTGTGCTGATGGCATTGATCTCGTTGTACCTGGGGGAGAGAGCAGCCCGCGGGGCTGGGATGGGCGCACAGCCTCCGGCACCCACTGGCCACATGGGGGGCTGCGCGTCCCCCCTGGAGCACAGTGCAGCGAGCGCCGCACCGCGCACAGGGCAGCAGGCAGCCCAGGGCTCTGCGGCACTCACTGATCCATCAGGTTGACGGGGATGGTTGTCCAGTTGCTGGTGACGTTCTTGTAGTGCTCAAAGAGCGGAGTCACTTGCTTCTGGATGTATTTCTGCAGGGCGGGTGGGCAGGGCTCAGCATGCAGCCCCCACAGCAGCCCCGGCCCTCAGCACCCCCTGGGGCTGCGCTCACCCTCATGGGCCCGAACACTTCGCTGCGGTCGAACATCAGCTGGAAGTACTGCAGGTTGCTGAGCGCTGCCTGCCAAGGCATGTACTCTGTCTCCCCGCTCAGGAAGCGCGTGGTATTCAGTGCCAACGTCACATCGACTTGCAGTGCCCTGCAGCGGGGAGATGGCAGCGTGGAGATCCCTGTGCCACCCGTGCCGTGCATCCCACCGCGTGCCGCCCAGCCGCCCCGCTCACCTGGCCAGGTTGAAGGCATCATCGATGATCTGCGCCCGGTTGATGATGGGGATGACCTGGGGGAGAGCAGAGGCGGTGCCACAGGGCAGCGCCAGCGTGGGGCGTGTGGGATGGGAGTCCCACGTACCTGGTGGTTGTTGGAGAGCTGCTGCAGGAGCTGATCCCAGTTCTCCTGGTTGTAGTTGACGCGGAAGTAGCCGCTGACATTGAGGTTCAGCAGGAGCCAGGTGGAGCTGCCCACACTGAAGTTGCTGTTGGTGTCTGTGCGGGCAGAGGGGTTCTGCTCCTGCCCCGAACCCACCAGCACATGGGGGGGCAGCGAGCCCCCAGCCCAGACCCCAGCACCATACCTGAGACATCCACCAGCCAATACCTGTCCCCAGTTCTGCTGGGCGTCATCCAGGTGATGGGGACAATCCAGGTGTAGCTGTGCAGGGGACACAAGGCCAACAGCCATTTCTCACCACCCACCCCCCCCATCCCCTCCGCACTCCACAGCACCACAGTCCCAGCCCCACTCACTTGAACACGGAAGGTCTCTCCACTGTGGAGTTGGAGTCGAGAAGGAAGTGGCTCTGCTTGATGCTGCCGTTGAGTGTGTTGACAGTCACCAAAGGGAAACCCATCTGCAGCGTCCAGCGGTCCATGATGTTACTGATGGTGTTGGGCAGAGGCACGCCGTTGTTGTTGACAGCCTGTGAGAGGTGTTGGCAGTGTTCCTCGGTGCTGTTGGGCCCGGCCCCATGCAGGAACCGAACCCCTCGCCCAAGGGAGAATGCAGCCACTGGACCTGGAGGGGGCGGGGAGGGTGGGAGCAGCACGGAGGGCTGCCCACTCCGCTCATACCTCCTGCAGGTGCTCCCACAGGTCTGTGTACACGGTGTTTCCGTAGGCAAAGGTGTGGAGGTAGGACTGCAGGAGAGCACCAGGAGAGCTGGGTGGGGAGGGGCAGAGGAGCCCCGTGGAGCCCCAGGGAGGGGAAAAAGACCGCCTGCCGCAGACACATGCACCACAGCGCAGCCCAGCAACCCTCAGCTCACCTGCAGCCCCTCCTTGAACACGTCTTCAGTGAGGAAGTCAGAGAGCATCCGCAGCACCGACGCTCCCTGCGGAGACAGCAGTGAGGCTCTGAGCACACAGCGACCGCCGGGGACCTCGCGCTGCCCGATGCTGAGCACCCACCTTGCTGTAGGCGATGCTGTCAAAGACCTCGCTGATCTCTGCTGGGGTGTTGATCTCATCCTCGCTGAAGGTGAGCGGGTGGGAGGTGGTCAGGGCATCGGTCGCCATCACCAAGTGCAATTCATTCAGCACCATCAGGTCTTTCTGCGGGGGTCGGTGCAGCCATCAGTGCAGCACTTGCAGCAGGGCAGCACCTGGGCGCTGGGCAGCAGGGGGTGCCCGTGCCCTCGCCTCGTATCCCCATGCCCCTGCCTTGTGCCACATACTTGTCTCCCGTGCCTCATGCCCCACACCCATGCTCCAGGCCCCAGACGCATGCCCCACATCCCGTACCTGTGCTCTACACAGCATACCCGTGCTCTGTACAGTATAACTCTACTCTGAGCCCCACACACGTGCCCCAAGTCCCATACACACGCCCTATGCCCCACGTCGCTGGGACCAGCACTCACAATGTTCCAGGTGGGCTCTGCTGAGTCTGCGCCCAGGTACTCCACGTAGGAGGCAAAGCCCTCGTTCAACCACAGGTCGTTCCACCACCGCAGCGTCACCAGGTTCCCAAACCACTGCAGAGGAGTAGAGCGCCCTGTCAGCGGGGCACCGTGGCTCCAGGGGCGAGCAGGGGCCCGGCAGGTACCTGATGGGCCAGCTCGTGGGCGATGACGGTCACCACGCGCTCCTTGTTGGCAATGGAGGAGTAGGCGTTGTCATAGAGCAGCGAGTTCTCCCGGTAGGTGACCAGTCCCCAGTTCTCCATCGCGCCCGCGTTGAAGTCGGGCAGGGCGACCTGATCTGGAGGATGGAGAGGCGCCATTGGCACATGGCCACAGCTGGAGCAGCTGCCAACAGCACAGCACGGCCCCACGCCCCCCGCACCCACCGGACTTGGGCAGCGGGTATGCCGTGTTGTAGTGCTTCTCAAAGAAGCTGAGGATGGGTCCGGTCTTTTGGAGCGCGTATTCGCCCTGCCCTTCAGCGATGGCTGCGGGGCGGCCCCAGATGCGGATCTGAGAGGAGAGATGGTGCCGGGCTCAGCTGCTGCCCTGGCTGCGCCTTGGGTGCGCGGGATGGCGCTCGGCTCACCTGCACCTCCCCAGTGTTGTTTTCTACACAGTCAAACTGGCTGACGATGAAGGCCAGCAGGTAGGTGGACATCTTGGGCGTGGGGTTGAACTGGGTGACGTTCCAGCTCTGCCCATCCATCTCCAGCTGGTAGGTGTCTGCAGGGAGCACGGAGCAGCTCAGCCGCCCGCCCGCCCGCCCACCCGGCGCAGAGCTCCCCCGCCCCACTCACTGTTGGCAGGCATGTTGGAGATGGCCTTGTGATCGGAGGGGTGGATCATCGTCACCGTGAAGACGGCCTTCATGGCCGGCTCATCAAAGCAGGGGAAGGCTTTTCTCGCATCAGGGGCCTGCATCTGCGTGGTGGCCACCACCCTGCAAGCGAACCCATCAGCACCGCGGCGCCCGGGCTCTCGTCCCCTCCGCCAAGGGGCTGACACCCCGTGAGGAGCCAGAGTCCCCTGCCCGCTCACAAGGGCACGTGCACACAGGCAACCTGCACTCATGGAGAGGCTCCTGGCACCGCGGCCACCTCCCCCCGCAGCACCATGCTCCCTCCCCGCCAGCCTTGCGCCTACTTGGTGACGTTGCCCTCGGTGTACTCGCTGCGGTAGAATCCAGCCAGGTCGTCGGCCAGCTCCCCGGTGAAGTTGCTGAAGAGGCGGTAGCTCTGGCCCTGCTGCAGCGGCCCGGCCAGCTGCACCACCAGGTACTGCGTGTTGGTCTCCAGCCACGTGTTGCTGATGGCGGGCGGTGTGGAGCCGTTCACCGCGTGCAGCGAGGCGTGGAAGCCATTCTGCAGCGTGTAGTTCAGCTTGTTGCTGTGGATCAGGATCAGGTCGGTGGCTTCCTCGCAGGTGAAGACAACGCTGCTGTTGCCCCTAAAGATGTACATGTTGTTGGCATCGGGCGTCAGGAAGGGCTGCAGCGTCACCTCGTAGCTCTCTGGCTTCAGCGCCGTCGGCAGCCGCCAGCGGTTCCAGGGGTTGTTGGGGGCAGTGGTGGTGGTGGTGGTGGTGGTGGTGGTGGTGGTGGTGGTGGTGTCGGTGCTGCCGCTGCCTCCTGACAATTTGTTCTTCTCCTGTGCATACACCACAGACAGCGCAATGATGGTGGCCACGGCACCCAGTGCCAGCACGATGCCCACGATGCCCACGCTCTTGCTGATGAAGAAGCCGGCTGCCATGGCGAGGCTGCGGAGCGGCGTGCAGAGGAGCTGTGCTGGGCTGGCACGGCTTTTAGCCTCTTGCTTCCACAGGGTTTATTAGTCCAAGTTAATGGGTGAACAATTAAAAGACCATGAGGCTCAGGATGAGCCTTCCACCCACCCGCCTCCCCGCACCGCAGCTGCGCTAATCCTAAGCACTGGGGCACTGCGGGAGCTCAGGGCTGCACCTCCAGGGATGGGCACAGGAGCGGGCATGGCTCCGGGCCAGGGCTCCCGGCATCCCTCCAGGGCAGCGGTGTGGCCCTGCAAAAGGAGGGACAGAGAGGGGTCACAGCCAGCAGCCGCATCCCCACCTCACCATAGGGAAAGCGGTGCAGCAGGGCGGGTGCTGACCCTCAGCAAGGGCACAGCCAGGGCCCCCTGTGCAGGCAGGGAGAGCACGGCATCGCAGCTGGGGGTCCTCAGAGCCAGGGAGGAACTCCCCTGCCTCTCAAAGCCCAGGGCTGCATTAACAGGTGTGCGCTGGGAGTTCGAACTCCAGCACTCACATACCCCGCACAGGCTGGCCATACCGTGCCCAGCAGCTCCCCATGTGCCCCTGAGCTGGGGATCCCAACCCGCACAGCACACAGCTGGGAGAATGCTGGTGGGTCTGGGGGCTCAGTTTCTCCTGCGCCTCCCAGCTGGGAGCTGAGCAAAGGCACCGGGCCAGGCGCACTGCGAGTGGCTCGTGACCAGGACACACCTTCCTCGTGCACCTGCCTGCATGGGAGAGAGAGCAGCCCCAACCTCGCTGGGCCGATCCCCCTGAGCTCTGCCCAGGGCTCCAATGGGCACAGCCAAAGACAAAGGAGCAAAGTCCCCATGCAGGGCAAGGTGGGGAAGAGAAAACATTGTGTGCACCTCACAATGGGAATAGAAACTCGTTTTCCCAAGGACTGATACCTCCAGCGGTGTGACCCGGGCTGGTACGGCTGGCAGAGGTACAGGAACAGAGTGCAAAGCAGGGCAGGGGCTGAGCGGTGTCCTCAAGGCACTGCAGCTCCCCGCTGTGCCCAACACTGTGACCTGTGCCCAGCAGCTCCCAGATGCATATCTCTGAGCCTGAGGAGCAGCACCACTTCCCTGCACATCCCCTGCCCCGCACGGCTCCACCGTACACACTGCCCTGCAAAGGCACTGCACTGGGGAACACCGTACCCCGAATCACGGCTGGGGGGGGGGGGCTGCCCGGAGCCCGGCGGTGCAGCCATGCCCCCCGCACAGACATCTCGGCACCGCACTGCGGGCATTCGACCCCGCACTCCTCCCACCTCTGCCAGCTCTCCCCAGCCCCGCCCGCCCCCCAGCCCGCGTCCCCGCTCGCACACCCGTAAACATCGCCCCACGGGCGGACACGGACGCGACACCTCCTGCCCCGGGGCGCGCAGACAGGGGCTCACCCCGCAGCCCCCCACGCACACCCCACAGCCCTCCGGAGCTGCCCTCGCTCCGTCTCCGCGTGCCCCTCCCGGAGCCCTCGCTCACACCGCGCTCCATTCCCCCGTGCAGTCGCAGCTCCCGTCCCCCCGCCCGGCCCGCGGAGCCCCGGCAGACCCCAGCCCCATCCGTGCCCCACTCACCGCCCCGCGCTCAGCCGCGGCGAAACGCGGCCGCCGGGACTCCCGTCGGTGCGCCGACCGCTGCTCACCGCCCCGCTGCCGCTGCTCCGTTAACTCGGGCGGCAGCGGGAGGAAAGTTTCCTCCCCGAACTCCAGGGGAAGTAACCTGAACCGCTGCTCGTCACCTTAACCCCTGGGCTGCTGGCTGGGGGGCGGGCAGAGGGGGTCCCGGAACGGACATCGTGTGCCCAGCACAGGGCCGGAGCCCGGCACAGGGCAGGCACCCCAGGTCCTGGCACAGGGGACATCCCAGATGCACCACTGCCCTGTCTGGGAGGCACTGCTCGGGGGCACCAGCCTTTACCAGCACACAACCCCAGAGGCGGCAGGGAAGGGAGCAGGGCAGCATTCGACAGCAACACCACCAGGCTGTGCTCGCCCAGCACCCGGGCACCCTGCAAATCATCCCAGCTCGGGGGTGCCACACCGCTCAGCCCCTGCCCAGCACCCCATGTCCCACCCGGCTCCCATGTCCCTCCCTCCATGCTGTGCCCCATGCGGCTCCCTGCGTCCCACCTGGCACCGCCTGTCCCAGCTGCAAGCAGCCTGCGGGGCTGGGTGGATGTGGATAGATTTGCAGTTGGCAGCCCTGTGCAGTTTCTGGGAAGCAGGGCTGGAGCGTTTCTCCCCTGGGAGTGAGAGGGCTCACCCAGTCCTTGGCAGGGTGAGGGCAAACACTGCAGTTTGGGCAGTGCAGGTGCCTGCAGAGGGGCTGGACACATGCCAGGCTCTATCTGCCCACATCCCCCCTCCTCACCAGTGGCGAAGGGTCTGGAGGACAGGGGAGTTCCCACAAGTGAACCGAGCTCAGGAGAACCCTGCGCCCATGGGTGCCAAACACACCCGGCTGGTGGCGGGTCAGTACCTGGCAGCCACGCAGGGCTGGGACGGGGCCCCAACGCCAGTTCTTGCTTCCCCTGTGCAGGCAGCTGGGGAGCACAGTGCTGGGCGGTCCCTACGCTGCTGGGCTCGGGGCTGCAGCTCTCCTGGGTGTGGGGACGGGACCAAGGGCTCAGCCCATCCCTTTCTCCCTGCCCCGTCCTGCGCGCGGCAAGGCCGGGGCTACAGCAGGGAGCAGCAGCGGGACTTACCCAGCCCTGTGCTTCCCAGCTCCAGCAGGATACAGGAAAGGGCGGTGGGGATGCAGCCCGTACCGGAGGTGCCAGAACGTCTCCTTGTCATGTGCAGCCAGGCACGTCCTGCGCCAGTGACCACCACGGCACTGGGCTGGAGAAAAGGCACTGCTCGCTGCAGCCAGGATTCCCCCAGCCCCGCTCCAAGAGTCCCCCCTGCATACCGGGCGTGGGCAGGAGCACCGCGCTGAGCCCCCCACCGCCCCGACCCCTCAGACCCCCACAACCACAGAACCCATCCCCCCCATCCCCGGACTCATCTCTGCACCGCTCACAGCTTCCACCACCGCGTGGCAGCCATGCGGCAGCAGGAGGAGGAGGAGGAGGAGGAGGAGGAGGAGGGCTGGCGGCGATGAAAAGCGGCTCAGTCCAGTGACCCCCCGCATGCTGCTGGGGGCCGGTGGCCAGCTGGGGAAGGGTTAAGTGGTGGGGAGGGGAGAGCAGAAAAATTCCTTCCAAGCAGAGTCACTGTTTCCCTGCCAGGGGAAGTGGAGGCAGAGCCCGCGGGAGCGCAGCTGGCGGGGAGGGAAACGGCACAGGAAGGGGCCCCCGCACCCAATGCAGGATGGTGGCCAGGAGGGGATGTGGGGCACCTCTGCCCACAGATAGGGCTGCCCAGCCCTGTGCTCACTGCCTGCTGGCGCCGGGCACTGGGCAGGGACGAGGACAGGAGGTCACAGGCTTCCACAGCCCAGCAGGAGGCAATGACCTATCTCGGCGTCTGGGCAGGCACCTTGCCAGAGCCACACCGCCACAGCCCCCACGGGCAGCACCCACAGCCCCATTTCCCCCCCACTGGCCAGACCCACAGCCCCGGCCCAGCAGCACACAGCGCAGACGGGTTCACACAGTGGTTTATTTGGAACAGGACACGCTCGCTGCTCACATCCACGTCTTCCTGGCACAGCAGGGTACACTGGCAGCTCCCAGCAGCTCACACCCCGCTGCCCTGCCCCGTGACACCAGCGCCAATCTCTCAGGGCCCCAACAGGAGCAGTGTGGGCAGGGAACACAGGCGGGCAGAGCGAGCCCCACGCCGGGAGGATGGAGGAGCAGCACCACCACGGCTGCGCCACAGCCACATTTCCACACCGAGGAATCCCAAGCAGAGTCAGCCCCAGCTCCGGCCCCCCACGCCGGGACGCTCACATGAACTGCGACAGGTTGGGCACTTTGATGTTGATGTCCCCGATGCTGATGTTGCGTGGGATCTCCGGCAGGTTGATGTTCTTCACGGCTGAGACGGCGCGGGATGGCGCAGCCGAGAGCCCCCCCTGGGGGGAGCGGTGGGTGCCAGCCCCGTGCCAGCCCCACACCCAAATCCCATCCCTGCTGTCACTGCATGTTGCATCCTCACGATCACAGCGCCGATGGACCATAAAGGTTTCACTGCACGCTATTAACCTTGACAGCACGGCAATAACCACGTGCTGGCTGCTCCCTGCACCCTTCAATGGGGAGCACCCACCCTATGCCCTCTTCCTGGGGACACGCAGGCTGGGAACATCTGGGGGGGCACCGGCTCGTTCACCCCCGGCCCCACAGCCTGCAGCACGCTGTCTTCTTCATGGCACCCACAGCCCCCCCTGCCCTGCTCCCACACCTCGGCACCCTCTCCAAACTGCTGCTCACCTCTGCCTTCTCCAGCTTGCTCTGCGCTTCCGCCTGTGCCACGATCTCATTCATGCTGGTCTCCAGCACCATCCCACCGATCACCACCTCCTGCAGGATGTAGTGCACCTGCGAGGCAAGAGAAGCATGTGGCCCCAGCATGTGCCACGGGGCAAACCTGGCCACTACCCCATGCCGGCCCCCCACCTCCCTACACCCCAGGATGGAACGGAGCTGTTCCTGAGCAGCAAGCTGCCCCCCAACACACACAAAAAAAGCCCTGGATGAGGTTTGGAACAGGAGAACTAGAGTGCAGGTGACTGTGCCACTGCGACACACCTTTGATCACGGCAGCAACACGGCTCTCTGCTGAGCCAGCACCTTCCAATAATCTCCCTGTGCAGATAACTGATTTATGGGGTTCTGGTTACTTCCATTATAAAGGCTGTTACTGGAAGATAGTTGTTATGATATTGGTTTATGGACTCATGACAGCTGATTGTGCCTGTAAACACTGTGTGGCAAACATCACCAGAGCAATGCTATGAGAAATAAAATGCTGTCAAGAACCTTTCTCCCAGCAGGGAAAAACCCAGCTCTGAGCACAGCGCCTGCCCCGCACTGCCCCACTCTGACAGCACAGCACAGAATATCAGGGTGCAGGAAACGGCGCTCCTTTTAGATCTGGTATCAGCCTGGCTTGGACCCAACCCAACCGAGCAACAATCCCAAGCAACCTTTATTTTCCAAGGAACAATCCATGTCTTCTCTGGGACCTTGCAGCTGCCGAGCAAAACACGCTGTGCTCTGAGGCACGGCCGCGCCGCAGGGCCGAGCCCCGGGATGGCAGCCGGCAGCGCGCACTGAGCCGAGGCGCCGCGCGGCCAAACAGAGCTGTGGCGCTGCTGTGAGCACAGTGAGTGCATGGGAGCCCGGGGGGCTGAGCCGGGGCTCTCCCCAGCAGAAACCCTCCTGACTGTCTCCTCTGAACCCTCATCAGCAGAGATCAGAAGAGGGCAGTTGCGCCGCTCACAGCGCCGGGTCCCGACCCCACAGGAGCACTGTGCACACAGCCGCAGACAGGGCTCTCACCACCACCCCCGAGTGCTCCTCCTTTCTCACTGCTCTCTCCCCTCCTCTCCCTCTCCTTTTACTTCCTTTGATAAGAGCACTTTTCCTGACAAGATAACTGGCCTAGCGACATCCCTGCAAGCTGAGAGCCAACCAACCCAATGGCAGAGTCAGAGTTACAAGCCAGGTGCAGAGCAGCCCTGACCACTGGAGCACACTTCCACGTTTGTTTCTCAGTCACGGAGTTCAGAATTTGGTATCCAAAACAGGAAGGGAACATTTACAGCACCACTGATTTTCCCACTTGTTTTTTGCTCTCAGGTTTTGCCTCCCAGCAGGCAGGAAGGCCTTATCAGCCCTGCACCACCCCTGCGCACAGCCCCGCTATCTGCAGCCCCATCCGGGACATCAAAGGAGGACGCTTCCTCCCTGGGATTCTGTCCGCCTGAAGAGGAAGCGCAGAGGCTGTGCTCAAATCGAAGTTTACCAAACACTGCATTCCAAACACTTCCATTGTTCCTCCCTTTTTTTTTTTCCTCATACACTCCAAGGCGTGCTGTGGTGCAGCAAGGGGCAAAGCGCCCACACACAGCCACCCCACATACATCTCCATCAGCACCGGGCTGTGCAGGAGGCAAAGAGCAGAGCTGCACACCCCTGTCCCTGCAGCAGCCTGGAGCGGTGGGGTTCCACTCTTGGCACAGTGACCCCAAGCTCAGAGCCAGGCGCTGCTCCCAGGAGCACAGAGGAGCGCACCAAGGCAGCACCCACCTTGTCCATGTGGAAGATGAGATCCAGTTCGCAGACGTTCTCAAAGCACTTGTCCAATGTCTCCACAAACACCTGAGGAAGAGAAGGGGAGCACAGTGAGACCCACACAGAACCTCAGCCCCATCCGGACCCCCAGCCCTCGCTGCCCCCTGCCCAGGGGCGGACCTCCCCGCTCTCATGGGTGCCGTCTCAGGGGTGGCACGGGGCAGGCAGCAGCACGGGCAGCTCTGCGGAGCTCGGGGCTCCCCGCAGCACCGACCTGGATGAGATCCAGGATGCCCAACTCGCTCTCGGAGGAGTCCACGCAGAACACGAAGTACAGCGTGGCGTAGTGCCGGTAGATGAGCTTGCAGTCAGGGCTGCCGAACAGACTGCGGGGGGATGCGGGGCTCAGGGGCCGGGCAGCTCGCAGCCCCCCCCCGGCCGGTCGTTGCGGTACCTGCCGCACTCCAGGAAGTTGCAGACGTGCTCGTCGCGCCGCAGCACCATATGGAAAGCGTCGCGGAGGATCTGCTGCTGCGCCTCCTCCGCCTGCGAGCACCGAGCGGCCACGGCCTCGGACCCCGCCCGCCCCACCCGGCCCCCCAGCGCGCAGCCCCCCGCCCCGCACCAGGTGCCGGTAGAAACGGACGAGCCGCGGCTTGCCGTGGTTGTTGAACACCAGGATGGCGTTGATCATCCCGGCGGCTGCACGACACGGCCGGAACCGGAACCGGGGCGCAGCGGCCTCATCACCCCCACCTCGCCCCCGCCCCCAGGAAGCCCCCCGCCCTCCCCGGAAACGCGGCGGAGCTCCGGGACCTCACGGCCGCTGCTCCCCTCCGCGCCGCCAGGGGGCGCCACAGCCACGGCGCGCCGGTACCGGGAGGGGCGGGGCTGCGCGGCGGGACGCGCGCGCACACACACGCGCGCGGCCGGGGGACGTCAATGGCTGCGCGAGGACTCCCGGCCCGGCGAGCTGATTGGCTGCAGGTGTCACGGCCGCCAATCCCCGTTATGCGAGGCTGCGGCAGGGATCGCGCCCGCGCGCTCCGATTGGCTGCGGCTGGAGGCTGCGGCACGATCGGGGCCGCCGTCGGTCGGGGCCGCCGGATGGCCGCGGGGATCCTTCCTGCCCGCCAGCTCTGATTGGTTGCTCGGGGCCGCGCATCCAAACATCGCCTCTGAGCGGGGCTTGGACTGCGATAAGCGCCGTGTCCGCGCGCTGCGATTGGCTGCGGCCGCTACGTTGCCAAAAGCACCGTGCCTGTGTGTTGCTATTGGCTGAGGCTGCCGTTCCTATTGGCTGAGTCCGGTGGGCTGCTGGAAGGATCCTGTCTGCGCGCTCTGATTGGCTGAGGCCGCTGGGCTGATGCGAGCTCCGTGTGTGCACGTTAGCAGCGGCCGAGGCTGTGCTGGGTTTTCTCCGCCGTGTTTGGGGGCTACAGAGCCCAGCAGCAATCACAGCCAGCTGTGGCTGCTCCACAAGCGGCCTGCCGGTGGCCGGAGCTCGGCTAGGAACGATGCTGGTTGTGCCCTTGTGCCCTTGAGAACGATATGTAGCAGGACCTGGGAGAGAGAAGGGGGAAAGCAGAACAGTAATCTTGCTGGCACAAAGCTCTGCGGGAGGGCTGAGGTGCTGCAGAGCCAGGGCAGAAGTTCCCCCGCCATGGGAGTTCCCTGTGCGTCACGGAGATGCCCACAGCACAGCAGCGGGATGGGGCTGCCCGAGCTGCTGCCCGCAGAGCAGCCTGCGGTGCAGAGGGAGCCCTGGGGGGGCACAGCCGTGCACGAGGCTCTGCAGGTCCTGAAGGGTGGGAGCCCCGTGCTTCGGGCTCACGTGGGAAACCCACGCAGGATCCGTGCGGGAAGGCAGCGTCCATGGGAGGGACCCCAGGCCGAGCCCAGCCACCACCACAGAGCGGCAGTGGCGGCTCTCTGTGCCGGCTGTACTGCTGGGGGAGAGGAGGGACCGGGGCCGGCGGATGGTTTTGTTTGCCCAGAGTTACCGCTTCGCTCCGGTACCAATAGGTGACCGCTCGTCCCCACACCTCCCGTGCTGGGGCAGCGCCGCAGAGCGGGGCTCCGCGGGGATGCTGGGGGCGGGCCGCCATTGGCTGCTGCGTGCAGGGGCCGCTCTGCGCGCGCGCTGATTGGCTGACGGCCGACTTCCTCCCTCCCCCCCCCCCCGGGCAGCCTGTGCTGACCGCTGCCCCTCGGCGTCCATCCTCAGCGGCGCCCAAGCCGCTCTTCGCAACGGCCCCAGCGCTCCCCAGCCCCGCCCGTGCGGGAGGCCAATGAACGGCGTCAGCCCTACAGACGATCCTTGAATATCTGCAAATATTTGCATGGAAAAACCGAGCCCTAACAAAGCCCACACAGCGGGGAAAGGCTGCGGCCGCACAGAGGTGTGTGGCAGTGCTGTGCGTGCGCGGTGGAGGATCTGCCTTCTTTGAAACGGGCCCTCCGAGCAGAGATGCTGTTCTGGGCTCACCGGACCACCCTCCACACGTGCAGTGACAGCCGTGGTCAGTCACAGCTTACATGTATCAGCAATGTCAGTTTGCACATAAGGATGTGGAAACCGGAGTGAAAATGAGAAGCGTCTGCCAGACAAAGGACTGCATTTTCAGACACCTCTGGGCGGCGATGAGTCTGTTCAGCTCCGTGCTTCCATGGAGATGAGCCTTAGCCGCAGCCCCGCTGCCTTCGCTCCCTCTCCCACCGCCCCGCAGACCAGTCGCCTTCCGCTCTCCCCTCGCCCCGGTGCAGCCATCACACCCTGTCCCCCCGCGGCCCTCCCCCATCCATCCCACATCCCCGGGCCCTGAGCGGCGCTCCCCGGCCACGGGACGCTCTGGGGTTTTAGGGAGGGGGAAAGTTCTGCCCGCCCAGGGCTGGCCCTTCCCTCTGGGGGGAGCCGTGCCCCTCGCCGTGCCCCTCGCCGTGCCCTTGAGTCGCTCAGGTCCCCGCAGCACGGGGCCGTGGCTCCGGGGGGGGATGCCGAGTCCCGGCAGCAACCGTGCCGCGCCCCCTCGTGCTGCCTCTCCCGGAGCGACCCGCGCAACCCGACCGGGCGGGCGGCCTCGAGGCCGGGGCTGCGGGCGGGGGCCGCTCCAGGCCCACGGTTACAGGTGGTCGCGGCGGGCGGCGACCCGGACCCGACGGGGCGGGGAGGGACTCGATGGCCGCCCCCGCTCCGGGCAGCGCCGCAGCCCCAGCGGCGAGCGGGCCGCGCCCCGCAGCTTTGTTCCCCGGTGCCGGGGGCGGGCCGGGCTCCGGGCGACCGCCGGCGACCGGAGCGGGTCGGGGGGTGGGCGTAGGGCCGCTCGGATCCCGGGAAACTTGTCCGGGCGCGGCGGGGGGGACGCGGGGGCACGGCGGCGAGATAAAGGGCTCCGGCGCCGCCGCGCTCCTCGCTCCCGGCCGAGTTAGGAGGAGCTGTTTTGCATCCCTTCACGTCAGCCTGCCTCATTCCCTCCTTCCTTCCTTCCTGCGCGCCCAGCGCCGGGCCCGCGGCCCG